ACGTACGTAGTAGAACGAGTAACGTAAGTAACGAACGAACGAACGAACGAAACGAAACGAACGAACGAACGAACGAACGAACGAACGACGACGACGACACTACCTCTCTCTCTCTCTCTCTCTCTCTCTCTCTCTCTCTCTCTCTCTCTCTCTCTCTCCTTTTTCTTTTCCTTCAAGAATTCCAAATTTTAATTTTTTTTATTAACAACAAGGATCGATCCGTAGCCAAAGAAGAATAACAACAGGATTGAGGTTTCGTTCAGGATTAAGAAAGCAAGTTTTGATCTAAATAATCAGGAAAGTTCATAATAATATTAAGATGCCTTGTGATCTTTGGGAAAACTGAAGTAGTTCCTTAATGCCATTTTACGGATGAATGTCCTCTTACCAGGAAGAGTAAAGGAAGCGCACAAAAGTGCGCACAGCTTCTGAAGGTACACCAGGAATTCTGATACATGGAATGCGATCCTTTGCTCTCATCTGATTTAATATGTTCCGGAAAACGGGTGAAGCGACACCCTAACAACACAAGAACGTTATGACTCAGAGAAAGGACAATTCATATGCGAATAGATCTTATGAAGGCAATGCATCTGATTTCTTGACTAGAATCATTTGAGCAATGACTGAAATTTTAGTTTCACTAAAGCAATCAGACACCACAAAAATTTTCAGAAACAACTCATATTTAGAATGCAACTACTCCTAAAAATCGATGTGAGCATTTCCAAATCAGAGAACATGAAGTGAACAATAGGTTAAAGGCATGGGGTACCACTGAAAGTAAATATTCGTGATTAATCCTAAGAAAAATGGGAATAATGGTGTAACCATTCATGAACCTCAGGCAAATTCAGTAGGCAATACAATTAAAGAAAAAATCAAAGGGCATCATCATCACTTAAGAATTAGAGATCACTTTTACATATCTTAAATCTTCTACCTTATAACATCTAGGAAAGTCAAGAAGCAAGGTCTTGGAGTTTGAATTCCAAATTACCAATCAATTAGGTGAGTGATTTAGCTTATTCTTCGGTGACTTTACAATCATTTTGTACAAAATCAAATAATTTGTATTATTTAGCTGATGATTCACAAGACCAATGGATTATAGATTAAAAAATGCACGACATCTTATCAGCACAACAAAAATGAGGAATGGTTTCACTTACAAGAATGTTTGAGTGAGAAGGGATGACGGCCTTGTCATCAGTTAGAATATGAACATCAGCTCTGTACCCTTCTTCAAACAACCTCTCCCATGTGTTCTTTGTTTCTTTTGGGACCCAACTGTAGCCTGAGCGCCTATGGGAAGGATCAGGGGTCTTAGAATAACCAAGAGAAGAAGGGAGCGGAGGAGGCTTAGGTATATTGGTGTTAGCATTATTACTGTTATTCACATTGCTATTACTATTAATCCTTTGGTTACAAGAGGATGTTGAAAGTTCAGACACTGCAAAAAGATCGGCCGGAACTCGGTCCTCATATGCGAGATAAGTTGAGGATATTGTGCGAGAAAATGGCTCCAATTGTGCCATTTTCAATTATTTGTTAGAACTAACAAGACAACCTGCCAAAAAAGGAAGGAAAATTATCAGATAAAACAGAGGCCATAGAAATTTCTCATATCCTTTACAAGGTTAACATGGAGAAGGCGATGGAGCAGAAGCTTAGAAACAACAAAGAAAGAAGACAAATGAGCCTTTGGAAATATCAACCATGGTAGCAATCCTCATATCACACATATTGACAGACAACCGACCCCAATGTACATATAATTTACCAGTTATTCAAATATCGGATCAAGCTCCGAATTGGCAGGGGTGCTATTCTGCTTCCCCCGGTCAGACTCCCACTATTCCAGCACCTGTCCTGGTAAAAATTACAAACCAGAAATTTTGGCCCCAAATCGCTAGTGTCCTGGTCCCATCCGACTAAGGTGATTCCCGAGTCATACAGGAATTTTTGATTCACTGGAAGAAACTAATTCAAACGAAAGGAATGCAAAAAGGGATGACATCTGTCTCTCTCTCAGTCGTTTTTCTTTGTGGATTGGTAACTAAAAACTCAAAATTTATAGAAAAATATGAGAGTGAACATGAAGCAATCTTGTTTGTAACAAGAAATCCATTTGTAGGGAACAATGTCTATTACACTCTACAAATCATTCATCTATTTTCAATTAACGAATAAAAGTCCTTGTTTTCATGAACATTGTAATGGTTTATTCTTCTCCACAGGTCCCCAAATACTAGGATAAAAATTGGGGTTGATCTTTTTCCATCAACTAGAATCATAAAATATCATTATAAAACAATCGTTGTGATTTCTATCTACAAGAACATATACAGAGATCCAAAACCCTTTGAACAAAATTTTCTTTTCTTATTGTGAAATCATACCCACCTTATTGAAATGTATGATGATATACCTTTCTTGATAGTTAATAAGAAGACACTGGAAAATGAAAAACTGTGAAGATTCTTTGTTCTCAATCAGGAATTCCACACAAGAACCAGAAAAAAATTGCAATCACCACCCCAAATTCTCTTTTTCCACACAAGGATCATGATTCCAAACTTCAGTGAAAAGGCAAGAATTCACTGTAATTGATCCTTTTCTGCCATAGCTAGAAAGCTTCTTACCAAAAAAAGGGCAATTAAAATAAAATGAAAGCTTCATGCTTTATCAATGGAAAGACGAAACAGAACAAGAAATATGAGAATTATTAGAAAAACATAACAGAAAGAAACCCACATTTACAACTTCACGGAAGCAAAGATGCCTAATATTGCAAGTATTTTTACACAAATGCCATTTAATCCTTATGATACCGTATATTTATACGGTCCTATATTTCATCTGAATAAAACGTGTATTTAAGAATTTTATGTTGAAAAAAAGATTGAAAAACGTACATCTCATAATTTCTGGGTTTTTTTTTTTTACCCCTTTTTCACTGGCAAAAGATAATGGATTTAACCACAAAAAACCGTAAAATTTCACCTGGTAACCAAGTCACTCTGAAACTTGTTATTGACCAGAGTAATAAATATAGCTCAAAATGGGTATTTACCTAAAAAAGACAAAAACACGAAACCCCTATTTTTTGGGGGATAATACACATAGGTACCGTATCCGTATATTTTTTTTTCTAATTTTGGCGAAAGGTCATAATTAGGGCCAATCATGAAGCAAGATTATGACTCGCTGCACGTGGTTAAGAAATTGGTGAACTTAGTTGGAATCGCCCACCGCGTGTCATGATTCTAGATGGCCTCAAAATGGAAAACCGGGTAATTTTCTATTCGGATAAAAATCAGTTGAGATTTAGGCATGTTGGATGATTAGATACGTAATCCGATTAGAAACGATTCAGATCCGATTCGGATCACATATCGAATCATCGAATATAACTCTTTATCGGTTCAACCTTCCATCCCTCCTATCTAAGTTTTAAAACACTAATCCCAAGTTGTAAAATTGGCTAGTGGATTTTGATAGCCCATTGGTATTATAATTATCAAGATGAAACTCGACCACGCAGTCCAACGGGATCTAAACCAAAAGTCTCATTTGTTCGAAAAGCGAACAATGTTAGTATTTGGCCTTTTGGCCATACAAACCATCCAATTTTTACCGATTTGGCCAGCTAAAGAAGATCTATTTGTTTTCTAATAATTTTATAATTTTAGATTATGTTGTTTCTTTTTGTTTCAAATCAAGTTCAATATGATCAGACTGATTTTGATTGGCACCCCACTCGTCTATTTTTTTTTGGGAAAGCTTTCTATGCTCTCTCTACGGCATAAAAGTTCTATCGTCCCCTTACCATCCAGCGGTCCATTTTTTATTAGTAGAGCCACTCACCGTTTGATCTTAGATCCGATATCTCAAAGTATTTTATTTTTAATTTTTTTTAATACAAATTTTCTTAATATGAGATTTGGTACGTGTCATCTTCTCATTAGGACGCACCTATAAAAATATTAGCAATAATTGTTCGATAAAAAATAATGACCAAAATACCCTTTGAAAATTTTAAAGGTATTTTGGTCATTTTATTTGATTGAAAGTATTTTTTTTATATTTTTCGTTGGTGCGCGTTTAATAGAGGAATGGACATCCAAAATTTGATGTCAAAATAGTCTATAGAAAAAAAATTAAAAATAAAATAATGTAGAAACATGACATTGTGATTAGGGCAATCTCAGCCCACCATGAAAATATGGACGGTTGGATAAGGGGAGAATAAAAAGCTTTCCCATTTTTTTTTAAAAAAATCTCTCGATATATTTCACCATATATTTACAATAACTTAGAAGATGATATACTTTAGCTGACCATACTACAGTTCTTTTATAAAAAGAAGAGCTCTAAAATGTTTTTTTAACCTAAAAATGACTTTTTATTTGTCCAAAAAGAGTTTTTATTCCTTCTTTATCATGCAGTTTGAATTAAAGCGGTGACATGAGCACTAAAAAACTCTTTTTCACTTAAAAAATAAATAAATTTCTACCTTGCCAAAATATTATTTTAATTATCGTAAGAGACAGGTAAAATATAATGAATTTACTAGCCTCTAAATAGCATTCAGGCAAATCAAGCCTCTGCCTATGCTTAGTAATCGTTTTTTACTACTCAAGCTAAGTAACTCAAGACTTCTCAAAAAAAGAAAAATTTAATATAAAAATATGTCAATAATAGAAATCATAAACAATATTACAGGTTGAAAAAAAGATGAAAAACATAGAAAAGATAGAATTTGGACAAAAACTAAAAAAAATAGAAAGATAGAGCATAGGATAAGAAAACCCCACAAATCATCATAAAAATATGAAAATTATATATAAACATATTTATACTTAATTTTCTAAAATAATATAATTTTTATTTTTTTTTTAAACTTCTATATGCCCAAGTTTGTATGAGGACCTGGCTCGGCAAGGTGCCAACTCCTAGTAACTCGGCAAAGTCCGACCCGATTCAACTGAATTTCAAAACCTTGGCACAAATATTATAACAAAGAGCCACATAAATCCTTCTACGCACATAATTATAATTCTCGAAGGTGCAACAAAAACCAGTGTTTAAAAAGTCAGATTCCGGCACTCGTTACGGTTGGGCCGAATCTTCTTGGCAAGCAGGCCCTATAAGGTGAAAAAAACATAAAAATGAAAAATCATTAAGAATATAAAAAATTCACAAGACTCCAAATTCAGAAATAGCTTGAGTGCTTGTAGTGAACCAGTGAACTGCTCAGTTCTAGACAACCTTGGATCATTCTCTAGTTTTCGACATCCGGACTTAGAGCTCTCGGGGCCAGGAGGTTCGAGCCGGCTTGTGCTGCTCCAATTAATTTGCTAATTTTCGAACCACAAGCCAAAAACAAACTTACCAATAGTGCAGAAAAGACCTGATGTTTTCACTACAAAGCATGAAAACTACACTTAGAACCTATATTTATGCAACCGTATATTTACCAAAAATTAAGTACATATAATACCTTATATTTCTCATCAAAATGAACCCGTCGAACCATATAAAACGGTCTACATCAATTCAAAACGACAATGAACAGATCGAACCGTATAAATCAACTTGAAATGAGCAGGAACAAACCTTATATTTCACCTGCAAATGAGCAGATCAAGATTTATAAAACCATATATTTCGCCTCCAAAACCAGCAGACCGGACAACCTTATGTTTTCAAGTCCAGACCATACCAAACCGTAGGTTTTCACGTCCGAACCGTATATGAATGTCTACAAAAGAACCGATGCTGGCATTGGGTTTTCCACCACACAAATTTATACGCAGAGAGAAGTGTTTCAGAGAACCTTGGATTTATAAAAAAACATATAAAAATTTATTATACAAAACCCTAATTTATAAGGACCGTCCAAAAAGAATCGGATACAATATTGATTTAAAACAACAGAAATGTATATATTATTGACATTAAAACAAAAGAAATGTATATACTATCGACCTTCTTGTTGCGGAAAAGGCCAACTCATACATACAAAAAATTGGCTTGTATGGCCACTTGTAATTTTTGTAATCCACCTATTATCATGACCTGACCTTACTATATGGTCCGATTGTTTTAAGTGTCTTTGGTTATTTTGGTCCAAAGTAAAAGCTATATATAGTTGACAATTGATCAAAATAGTTGATAATATTTTACCTATTAGGTTGATGAAACAAAATTAAATACTTTTTGTAATATATTACATGTTTTGAAACTATTATTTCTATTTTTTTTAATTTTTGAAAATTTGTTCAAACTACTCGAATCCAAAGTCAGACTAGTTTTGATTAAACCGATCCCTGATCCATTTTGAGGCTAGTCTGATTTTGATAATATTAGTTTCTAAGTTTTCCCCTCAACATTTTTTACTCCACTAAAGGCCAACCTTGTGGTTCTAAGCCCTGAGAAATGAGGAGAATTGTGTTAGGTTTGCAGTCAGTATAAATTTTTTACCACATTTATTTCAACTTCAAATTGTTGAGATAAAGTTTAATGATCGATTTTAAAATTAAACAAATGGGCTAGAATTGCCTTGGGATTGAGGGCTTTCCAATTTAACCATTTAATTTTGGGTGAAGTACTAAAAATATGGGTGGCAAACCATGTCTCATTATCAAACAAAGATGCCATCGAACCCGCTTGTTATTTTCCCCTTCGGCATTGGATAAAGTGGTGGCAAAGTGATTCGAAGATCAATAGAATGTGGACACGTGTCGGACTGGGGGGCGGCGGGGGGGGTCACAGCTGTGTACGACACCATCTCATTAGATGATCTGATCCGTTCAATCCAACGTATTGTCGAAAGTTTCTTGTATATCTATGTTTAGAGCCGGGAGTGGACTCAAACCCAACCCAACTAGGAATAGGTTGGACTTGGACCGGACTCGGACCTTGGTCGGGTCCAAATCTATTGAATTTAGACTCGACCCATCAGGTTGGGTTGGGTAAGTTCCAGGTTTAGCAATAAAAAACATAGAAGAAGATGTTTGAAATTTATAGTCACTAGATATTTTTATATAAGTTATACACATAAATACTCGATCAGGTTAGGTGATCCCAACCCAAACCTAACCGGACTTGATAGGGTCAAATTTGGACCCAAATCTAGACCTGTATCAGGTCTAAGTCAAGCAAACCTAGACCCGACTCATTCTGTTTAGGTCAAGCAGACCCAGACTTGATTTGACTTGTCGGATCCATTGTCCTCGTCTAGCCCTAGACCAAGTCCAGTTGAAACCACATGTTCACGCGACCCGTTTCCCACCCCTACCTATACTAAAGGATTACATTTTGGTAAGGAGGGTTTTTTTTTTTTACAAAATTGGGTAAATCTACACCAAAAAAACCTAGTTTTGTAATGGCCTGCTCTCAATCATGGAATTTGAAGCTAAAATAGTACATATACGATGGAACTACAGCCCAATAAAATAAATTGAAATCAGTTATGCAAGATGGACAAGTTTTAAGGCATGAATTCTAGCTATTTTTTTATTTTAAGTCATGAATTCTAGGTATTTATTCCTAGAGATAAGGATTTTCTAGATGGAGACAACTGAGTTTAGCTTGTCCTATGCAAGAACTGCATTTTTTGGCAAGATTCACGTGTGTAAAATGTAGTTGCTCTGTGTGCCTTTTAGGAAAATGTGAATTTTATCTTTGTTGGGAAAAGTGAACCTTCTAGGAAATCAAGAGCATTAAAAAAGGTGGGAGTTTGT